CTCCACACCGCGGTGAAGATCTGAACATACGACACAACGATGAAAACAAAGCAGCCTAGAGCTAAAAACACACTGAAGGCAAGAGCTGCCACCTCCCTGCTGTATGTGTGGGAGCAGGAGAGCTTGAGCTGCTGGGGTATTTCACAGAAGAACTGGTTGATGATATTTGAGTGGCAGAAGGGGAGACTAAAGGTGTTCCCAGTGTGCATTGAAGAGTTGATGGCACCAGCAGCCCAAGCACCGGCAGACATCTGGATGCAAGCTCTCCTGTTCATTATTATCTCATAATGCAGTGGCTTGCAGATGGCAACGTACCGGTCATATGCCATGATGGTGAGGAATGCAAGATTGGCTGCAGAAAAGTGAAGAAGAGAAAGACCTGGGACACACATCCAGCATAGGAAATTGTCCTGGTTTTCTACATGCTACCTTTCACACTAGTAACACCTTTAGTGTATCTTTCCAGGAAGCTAATATCATCAACCAGTTCTTCTGTGAAATCCCTCAGCTAATCAAGCACACTTGCTCTGACTTTTTCCTTACACAACTTGAAATAATTGTTGGTGTTTGCATAACTTTAGACCCGTTTTGTTTTCATAATTGTATCATACAGTCAGATAGTCAACACAGTGCCCATCTGAGCAAGGACAGCACAAAGACTTCTCACCTTCCTTCATCACCTCATTCTGTCTCCTTATTGATTAGCATGGGCACCTGTCCCTATATGAAACCTATCTCCAGGTCCCCATCAGGTCTTGGCCTCATAGAAGCCATTCTCTGTTCTGTGCTGGATCCAATAATCAAGCCAGTTATGTACAGCATGAGGAACAAGGACCTTAAATGTGCCCCGTGGTTGCATCCCCTACTCCTGCTGCTGCCACTGTCCCCCACAGACCCAGGCAACGGGAGCCCCAATGCTGGCCATGCCCCAATCCAGGTGCAGGCTCTGGCTCCACAGGGTGCCAGGTTCAGGAGGGAACAGCAGTAGTGGTGCACAGGTCCTTTCTTCCAGGATCTGCTCCCAGTCCAGGTGGGACACCTGCAAGGGAGTGCGGTGGAGACAATGCCCGAAAATTCGCAAACAACATTTTTCCATTGATTTTGTTGGTCTAATAAAAATATAGCATCTACCCCATAAACGTGCCTTTCAAAATGGCCACAGTTTTGAAGCGTGGGATGTTCGGTTCATGAGATATTGCAGACTTTTTAATTAGAGTGGCTTCCAAGACCTGCTCTAATTCAAATGCCAGCGTCTTCCCCCTGCCCCAGAGCATGTGTAAAGATGCCCATATGCAGGCATAGGGAACTAGGGATGGATCATGATCCCACCAGTTGTCTTGAGAGACCAGAACAGTCCATGGCTTTAACACCTGAGGTCTCCATTCATGCTCTATTTCTGTGTGAATGATACAGATAACTTGATGTGCAATGAGGCTGACGGGCTCAGGGATGAAGGCTGGAGCAACTCTTTTCATACCTGGCTTATCTGCTCATACCCAGCCCATGTGAACAGTGGCAAAGCAGCTGCCCCTGCTCACGTCCGTTCAAAGAACTGCTGATTCCTATTCTCCTAAAGCAGACCCCTAGACAAGGAATGACAGGACCCACAAAACATCCCACCCATCTGAACTCTTCTCAGCTGATAACCCTCACCCTCCCACCCCAAAACGCGCTCATGCACACGCACACACCCCCCAGGCTCAGCTGAGTCTATGAACTGAATAAATTCTCTCAGCCACTGTGTCTGAGCTTTCTGATCCAACATCTTAGAAGAGACTGCCACTGTCTAGAGGTCCTCAACTCAATGCCTCCAGAGGCTCTCTGCTTATTCTATCAAGCGTTTGCCCTAGGCCTTTATTGCTAGTCAGAGCAACAGCTATTCCGATAGGTGCTGTTCTTCCATTTAACCAAAGAGTATTAAATCCAAGGTACAGCAGGTCGGCTTTGAGAGAGGCAGGGTGTGAAGGCATGCAAGGGCTAAAGACTAGGAAGGTCCTACACTAGGTACTAATGGCAGTCAATTCTGTTTCATCACAGAGTGAAATGAAAGCCCAAACTGTGTGCAAATGCAAAAAACTGTACATGTGTGGCATATACGCTGCATATACGCAGTTCCGTCTCATAAAGTGAAGTAGAATCTGGCACCAAGACCTAGGAATTGTTCCAGTGTAAGTATTTCCATATATACCCTTCTCCTACCTGAGCTGGGACCCACATTTTATTGATTAATTATCTGTTCACATCACTATCAGCGGCATTGCCATCAGTGACTTGAAATTGCATAATTTTGGTTGAATTCATAATGATATATTCTTTACTTTCCTAATGTCCTCCCAACTTTTTTTCAAAAACCTACTCTGTGCACACATGAAGTTCATTATCCTATTTTTAAGTAACTTGCTTTTAAATGAAACTAAAGGTTAAATGTAGGTTAAACAACTGTTAGGGGGCATATTGATGCTTCAGTATTAACTCAAGCCATACTTAGCTTAATGCAGATCTTTGGACCTCTGAGTCTAGAGCAGAAGCAATAATGATGAGCATCATTATAGAATCATAGCACTGGAAATACCCCTAAGGGTCATATGGCCCAACCCCCTCCATCCTTCCCTATTTAGTAAGGGAGAACAGTTATTCACCCTCTCCTTCATGGCAGTTTTTTCAGATATTAGAAGACTGCTATGATATTCCTTTTAACTGACTTTTCTGTAAGCTAAAGTTGCTTAGTTCTCAGTGTCCTTAGACCCGCACGGCTACAACCTACACCCCTGTTTTACATCTAGTACTCCTGTTGTTGCACCCCAAAACTGCATGAATGTTTCTGTAGCTACATCAAATTCCATGTTCATATTGAGTCTGTGACCCACCTTTTCAACCATGATACCACCCAGGAATTTTAACCCAGGCTGTATTTGTGCTTTTGATTCTTCTCCCCTATGTGCAGCAAGTTGCATTTATTTCGTGGCCTTCGTCTTATTTTTTCAAGCCCAGCACCCCAATCTATCCCTATCCATATGAACTCTATTCCTGTCCCCTAAAATGTTTGCATTTCATTCCAGTTTCACACCATCTGGAGATTTGCCTGTATAGTCTGTCAGCTGAATAATTGATTGCACCAATCAGTAAACAAAACTCTTTAATTCTTCATTATCTTGCAATTGATGGGATATATTTTAGATGGTGCAAAGACAGTAAAATTGATGCATGAAACATTAGTTTCCCACTTCAACAGTGTCAACCAAAATGATAAAAGCCAAGTCTTTGACCTTACAAAGTTACAGAATTAACCTACCACCTTTATTTTTAATATGCAAGATTCACACAATATTATGAAAAATGACTAAGTTAATTTGTAAATTAGAAAACAAAAATATAAGAGAAGGAAAGTCATGAAAGAAAGATGGACATATTGTTCCTGGAGCGGA